ATTGCCAGTGCCAAACCAAAGAAGTGTAATGCAAGCGTAACGCTATATCAAGTAGACAGGATACATTTTTACTTCGGTCAATTTTATGAATAATATTCGATCTTCCTCGATATGGCCCAATTCGACCCTTATTGACGATTAATTTTCGTAATTTATACCGGGGAGTTTGCTTACTCTCGGAAGGTGTGCATTTATATGATAGTAATCGGCTCATGGCGAGCCCTAGGTTATTACTTACCGTAATTATTCGATTTAGCGCCCGGGGCGCTTATTTCTTTTTTGAGAAACAAGCGAATGTTCAAAACAAAACTTGAACAAGAGATTATTCATTTGAAAGAACGTTTTCCGGTTGTCGCGACTGTGTGAGAATAAATTCCAGTAATTCGCGTATTGCTTGAAAGTTTAGACTATACTCTCATACTAGTCTGTGTACTCTCATGCTAAAAATAAAATGTAAAGTAAACAGAATGCAAGCGTTACACTTCCGGTAGCAATTCGATATGGCCTGCCCTAACTGATTGATTAATTGGCTGATTGATTGATTAATTGATTGATTGATTGATTGATTGATTAAGTGGTTGTATCACATGCTTTAGTTCTGAGGATGACAAACAATTCTTTAAGAGTTTTTCACTTAATTTTTCTGTGATCGATAAATTATGTTTACCTTACAAATATAATAAACTACTAAGATACATTAGTTAGTAGCTTAACAAAAATAAAATTCGTGAGTGATCGTGTTATTTTAACTTCCCCAAAATTTTTTTTCATTTCAGAAGGTGAAATACGGACCCACTCAAACTTCTCTATTTTCTACACTTAATGGATGTAACTCAGTTTGAATAGACCGTACTTTTCTACTCCTCAAACTGGCAATCATCTATATTGCCTGTGATTTAAAAGTTTGTTCCAGGGATGTTTGGAAAAGTCTTTAAAAACGGTTATGCTACTATTACAACAATAATCTTCAATGAAAGACCTTAACATGAGCATTTTTGACATCATAAGTAACAATCACATAACCACTATTAGAAGTAGCAATTGCGCAAGGTCGATTAAATTGTCTAGTAAGTGTCGAATTAACAAATTTTCCTCCTAGTGTGAAAAATTGCAGCCTGCTGTTATTTTTGTCACATACAATGAGGTTGTTGAATTTGTCAATAGCTAGTCGTGAGGGGCAATGCAGCTGTCCGTCACCAGACCCCTTGGTGCCAATATCGTATAGAAACACTCCTTCTTCATTGAACACTTTGATGCAATGAGCCTTTTGGTACGACACAAAGAACATGTTCCTATGATAAACGGCTGAACATGGGGATACATGGCAGTCTGGAGCAGTGAAGGTAAGCAGCAACTCTGTCCCGTCAGGGGAGAGCACCGTAACTGCTTTGTTGTATAAATAGGTCACAATCATGCGACCGTCACATGCAACAGACAGGTTCTGAGGGTTCCCCGCATGTGCATGGGCGATGCATTCAATAAAACGCAGTCTTTCAGTAAACAGAGAAATTCTACAACCGTGAACAACTACGACATCGCCAGTACTGGTAAACGCCACGGATGTGGGTCTATTCTCATGTTGATTAAATTGAAACTCGTACAAGAAAGTCGCGTTTGTATCAAATAGTTGAACTCTACAATTAGTACTGTCTGCTACTGCAATAGTCTTACTGACTTCGCTAAAAGCGATACCTTGAACACCATGCCCAAAAGACCCATAATGAATTGCTGTTTTGTATTGATATGGGTAGACCTGAACACACCATGGACTGCCAGTTAGCCGTTGCCCGTTCAGTGTGATTATCACAGTGTGTTCATCTGCACAATGATGAGGAGCGTACGTGACGGTATATTCACCATTTTTCTTGTCTTGAATCGCGTTCTCCATACGCTCCTCCCCAGTCTTGATTGTGATTGCCAGTTGATCGCTTTCGTTATAACACTGTTTTCCTTTGGAATCTTTTGTTGTGATTGTAAAGTTCGCTTCTCTTCCAACTTCTGCTTCTTCTAAGCCTTTTCCTTCCGCCACGGATTTAGAAGAGTCTGTCCAACTCACAACAACTCGACCCGGAACTGCTTGTCGCAAATCTTTGACATCCTTTTCATTTGTCACGTAATTAACATACATCGGTTTCTTGACGTTCACTTCTTCTTTATTTAAGAGAATTTCACATCGCTGAATTAAAGTCTGTTGTGTTTGCAGAATTTCAAAACTTAAATTTCTTTGCAAAACAGCTTCACAGTACTCTACAGAGCTCTTTAACTGCGTCGCTAACGACTGAACTCGTTCTTGTTGTTCTGTATGACATCGTTGTCGCTCTTCGTCAGCCTCATCTAACTTGGCCGCCATTGTCATCTCATGTTCCTTAAAAATTCGAATAAGTTCATCAATAGTCGTTCGTACTTTGTCCCGAGCAGCTTGAGTGTCTTCTCTGCTCTTGTTAAACAGTTCTGTCTCTCGTGCTACCTGCATCTCAAAGTGAGCGATTTTTATTTTCGCTTGTTCAACGACCTCCGTAATTTGCATCTTCTGTTCCTCGGCGGCTTCCCGTATATCAACCATGGCGTGTCGATTGTGATTTAAAATTACGCACTTGTGACAAATGCAAACTTTGCATTCTTGACAATAATATTCAAGTGTTTCTTTCTCGTGATATTTCTCGCCACACATGACAGGCCTGTGCATCAACTCTTCGACATCCTGAGTTTTCAAATTCTGAATCAAAACACTGCGATGATGGCGAGAGATTTTCATTTTACTGTGAAACTTGGCACAGACATCGCAAAAGAAGTCGCTGCAATCAAAACAGTAACAGGTCGCGGTGTTGTTCTCTTCACAACTGCTGCAGGTCTGGGATAGTAGATTATCATCTCCCAGAGCTAAAACGTCCACCAATCGATTGAGATGGAAAGACGTGGGAAGGCCACCAAACGTGTCTCCTTCAGGCATTTGGAAGCAAGTCAAGCAAACCGGACATTTGATTGTTGTTTGTAGCTGCTGTCGTGCATAGAGTGCGTGTTTGTCGAGACACACCAGACAGAATGAGTGTAAGCATGGCAGGGTCTTGGGATCCTTGACTGTTTCTAAACACAGCGGGCACTCAGCTTCCTTCTTCAAATTTCTGAACAGCTCTCGAACGTCCATGTTTCCAAATGTTTTATATACCGTATTAGGTGGCGCCTAAGTGTCTCCACTGAAGCAAAACGTCACGCGATGTTTTTCGGTTTCCCGGAAATAGCCAGGTTTTTTCCAAGAATTTCGCGTTTCGAAGTAAACATTTTTATTTTATTAAGTTTCTGCTGTAGTTCAGGTTTCGTAACACATCTAATTACGAAACTAAGATTATAATAGGCTATAAACATTAAAGAGCTAAGCCCACTCCTGAGAAGTCAAGGGGTTACCGAGTTGACCCTTGCTCCGAATGTTCTATCATGAATGTGACAAACATAAGTACAGCTACTGTAGTCACGCCATTGTAGTCTATTGCAAATTCGCGAACCTGATTGGTTCTCTGCATGGTCATTGTTTATCCGCTATTAGTATAAATCTACTAACGTTCTGTCACGAATACCGTCCTCTGATCAGCTACGCTACTCATTTTCTATTCTGTCGTAGATAGTCTAGCAGTGTGCGGTTGTAACAAAATAGCGTGGACGACTAGTAGATTTATTTCTATGCGTGATAGAAATCTCGATAGAAATCTCGAGCTCATTCAGCATTCTACCACGAGTGCCGCCTCGTTGCGTTTTCGAGGTGTCTGAACCGAACCGCGCTCCCACAAGGATGGAGGGGGGGGGGGGGGGAAGAGGGTTGTTGTGGTCGCTCTTCTGCTCTGTTCTCGCGTAGCTGTTAAATAATTGTAATTCACATATACGCCTTTCCGAGAGAGATTCACTGCTTCATCTACTCCATATGCGGGATATAAGGGGCTGAAAATGATCTCTTCGCAGCGTATCAAGGTTTCATAGGTCAGAGGCAGCCCAGGCATAATAAATGATCCTGAATAATTCATCAAAGGCCCCGGCCTGGGTTGCCTCGTGGCACTTGTAAGTGCGAAGAAATTCACTACCAAACCAAACAAGTTTAATGCAAACGTAGCACTAAACAAGTAGACAAGATACATTTTTACTTCCGTCTGCCTCGAAGGAAATATTCTTCCTTGGATTCGCGACGAATCTGTGATATTTTGGTACCGGATTAGTTTTGTCGTTTACACGCTGGAAATGAAATAAAAACGTTCAAGTCTGGTCGCGTCTAGGGAGATTTCGGATACTTAAAACTGTCAACGTTAAGAACGCAATGACGCGCACTTCCCTGCTTGGTAACGTACCGCTCCCGCATTTTTTGGAAGAGTTTAAGCGCACAGGCATTCACCGAATCTTCCAGCGCAAATGGCTACGACTCCGAATACCCTAAACACGATGAACCCGAAAACAACAATGAATCCAGAAAAATATCCTCAGCATAAAAATAGTCGAAATCAGAAAAATCCCAGTTAAGGCTGGTTTTCACTTGCGACGAAGTCGGAGTCGGAGTCGTAAGAGCGCTTACGACCTGGTAAAAATCGAAAATCGGAAGCTGAATCATAAGCTCGACGCAATCGGAGTTGGAAGAATCAGAACGTTTCCATTTTATTCCGATTCCGCTCACACGACTCCGTCGCTTATGATCCGGTGAAAACAATATTGTTGGAGTAGGAAGCAAAAGCAGATGAACCAACCAATCACGATGCCTGCAATCGAGCATTGTGATTGGTTTATTCTTCGGTTTCTGCTTAACTTGCGACTACGACAATCTAGTTTTCACTAGATCATAAGCGACGGAGGTAGAATCGGTGATCTGCTTTCGACTCCGTCGGTTTGATTTTCACTAGATCGAATCGCTCTACGCTTCTGATTACGACTCCGACTCCGTCGCTAGTGAAAACCAGTCGTTAATTTAATAAGATATAAAATTAAGTTTCACGATCTTCCATTCTGGGAACTGCATTAGCGAGTGACGCGTACATGAGACAACTTCAAGCGAACAAAATGACCAGCTTTTGAGACTGAACCAATTCAACAATGACAACGTAAACCAAATGTTTTGTTTGATTTAACTTTATATTTTCAGAGTTTCTACTCCGTAAAACGCTCTATACTATACAATTTCAAAATTAATACTAAACAAATGTAGTGGCAGTTATTACAATTTCTACAGAGATAACTCTTGTTCATTCTTACACCTTTGCTCGTTATATTAGTCTTAGTTTATGAAATAAGATTTCCAAACCCAGACATGAATTAAATACAAAAATAAATATGGTGTCCATATTTTTTGCCTTGATGAAATACGGCACACCTTGGAGAATACGCTCCGAAATCTCAGACACAATTATCCCTGCAATAAATAACGAAATAATTTACACCGATTACAACTTCCCTGGCTTTCAGTCAACAGTGAGATTTGATTTGAATTTTACAACGCGCGTAAAAACTAATTTACTGTTAAAATAACTTACAATGACATTCACGCCAGGTCCCTCCAATAATTCCCCATTCCCCGACAAAACTGAGTTGCTTGAGAACTCTTACGTCAACTCGAGATAGGAAAAGTAAAACTCGTAGTAAAATAACCAGCACGTGTTTCCCAAAAAAACACTGCCGCGCAAGTAAATTCGTACCCTTCCTTATATTTAGCGAAAAAGCGATTAAATGATGCCACGAGCTATCACACTTTTCCCGCCACAAAAGACATTGGTAGAAAGTCTCACTAAAAACTCGGGGTGAAATCTCGTACTTGTATACAGATCATGACCTCTTAATTCTTCAAACAATCTTTTCCCAGCTATATAGAGAGAATGCTCAGTTGTCGCACCCCGCAGTATTCCTCTAACATGTGGACAATGTTCTCTAGTTCATAAGACCTGGCATTGTCCAATGGCGTGCTGCCAAAAACGTCGCAGAGGTATGGATTCACTCCATGTTCCAACAAGAAAGCCACAGTCTCGGCGTTGTTCCGGCAAACAGCCTGAGAAGAGAACAAGAAGAGGGATACAAGACGAGCATAGTTTTACGTAAAAAGAAACCAGCTACAGGCCTCTCTAAAACACAGAATTCTTGACATTAGTATAACTGTTAGAAAGGAGATTAAAGAGACACAGTCAGCTTTGGGACCGCGCTGACCTGGACTCTAGTTTTCCCACTTTGAAAAGAGTTCACCTCAACCTGAAATCAAAGACACTCGTCGAGTACATCTGGAAATCCGCTTCAATCTTCGCAGTGGTTTGCTTGATTTTCAATGGTTTACTGAAAAACCTGTTTTTGAGTGTGCTTTTCCTCATCCTATGATATTACCTTATCATATTTAGTTAAAAACAGTATGGAACTCGTCTCTGTGATATGCAAATTAGCTATGAAATGGTATCTAATGCGCACGTGAGCCTGCTGACTGTGTCCCTTTAAGGGTTTGCAAAACAGCCGTTTTTCTCCGTGGGGAGAATCACGCTCGCGAGAGGTGTCGCTGATTACTAAAGCTACACGGGAAATTAATATTTCGCGCGCGACACTCACCACGTGGAGAGGCGTTCTTTTATCGTAATCACAAGCATTTAAATCCACTCCTGCTAGCTGCCACACCAACAGGTCATCCACGCGATTTTTGGCCGCCAAGCGGCAGAGTTCAACAGCGGTCTCCATAGAAGTTTTCATCAGCTTAGCGCCAGCCTTACGAAGAGTTTTCACGATCTCTTTATGCCGGAATTTAATTGCGTCGTCCAGAGGAGAAGTGTTGAATCTGTCTCTTACTTGCGTAGAGGCGCCGTGTTTTAACAGAAATTTGACAGCTTCACTGTTTCCTTCCACGCACGCGACGTGAAGAGCGGTTCGGCCATCGTAGTCCGTGGTGGAATTAACGTCCGCACCCTGCAAATGAAACGTGCACTATTTGACTAATATCGATTGATTGAGGTAGTGTTCTAATGACATAAAAGAGCTCAGTCACGGTCCTTGAAGTTATTTTGACCGCGAACAGAATTACCTTTAAATTGAAGGAAACCTGAAAATAGTACTTTGCTAAGATGGAAAAACACCAAAGAGATAGCAATAAACCATCAAGAAAAAAGGACGCTTAAGGATGGAGAAGATTAAAATGGATTGCAGACGACGAATTTGAAAAATTTACGCTAAACTTTTTAAGATGTGCAAACGGTGACGTAGCTCCTTTAAGTTCAGCATTACTGAAAACTAAAACGCACAACAAAAAGCTACCCGTGTTTGAGTTACGCGGTGCAAAATCGATGCAAAAGTAGGAACTCGGTGAATCCGAAACATTCACGTAAATCTGGGAGCCGCCCACACTAATGCGCGTTCGTAAACGCGTCGCAGCTTATATTCCGCACTACTACGATCGCAAATGCTCATCGTTTTCACCAAAAACGCATGTATCTGTAAACGCTGTCCAGAGTTGACACATTTGAAAGCCCTATCGTAACACCTCCGACGTCACAGCTTGTGCAACGTTGTCCACTGAGCGACTTTTGGCGGGAAACAACTTCATTGATAGTTGTCATGTGACCTTCAAGAGGCCAATGAAAGCGCGCGCTGTTAAGAAAAAAATTCTGGCCATGTAACAATGTCTAACGCGCCAATAGCTCACCTGATTAAGAAGTTCTTCCAGGGTCTTTACATTTCCAGCACTCGTTGCACAGCTCATGAGCACTGGAAGGAGCGCGTCCCTGATATATTTCATCTCCTGTGAAAACGTAACGTACCGTGAAATACTGATAATAAATACTATAAGTCCTACCACAAATAAGATTCACAAATCTCAGACACAAAAGTCCTTGCCACAATGATTCCCCATCCTCTCAATGTAAGCCTACAAGTTTATAGGTAGATTTAGCTAATAACGCCTTTCAATTATAATCCAGCCAATAAGAGCTTGTTTTGTGTTTTGTGCATTCGTAGTCTAGAGCACAGATCTGTCACGGCCACTATTCAGCTTCAAACAGAGTTCAAAGACCTTTGTGTTTCATATCAGTGTTTCGTTAGACAAATGCATTATCCTGTCACTGATCATTCCCTTGATTCCCATCACATGTCAGCTTGACGGTATATGGATACTGTAAGGAGAAATTACACATTGATGGGCAATAAAGTATAAGAAACCATCACCTTGCTGCAGCCTATCCGCAGTGAAGAAGCCACGGCTGCAATGAATGAGTTGTCTTTGAGAGAAAACTGTTCTCGGCTATGAGCAACAGTCAGTTCTCCTCGAATGTTATTTCGCATCAACTGACAAGAGACAAGACGAAACACAAATCTGTCAATAAAATCAATTAGTAAAAGTGCTTTAATTTAAATTTGTTCTTAGGTGTTCAATTTAGCTTTGCGTTCGCTGAATGCAATTTACTCTTAACCAATCAGAGTAACACATTGTTTTTCAAACAATCAGCATCAGAACCAAAATCAACCGTGACTTTTTTTGGANCACCAGCGGAGGGAGATTTGGAGAATCAAAAGCATCAAAACTTCCAGCACTCACTTTAGTGGAACGATTGCCCCGATACAAACACCCAGCAAAATACAGGCTCACCTAAAAGGCAGAATCAACCTCAAATGACAGAAATCTTCAGAGAGCCCTTCCCTCCCACCTCATCTCATATCGCAAGGAGAAAACTTTAAGGTCAGCACACACGAAGGGACCACAAAATCTAAAAGTTGGTCCCTGCGACTAGTCCCACAAATTCAAACTGGTTTGGATTTTTTGGACAAGTACCTGGGACTTGTTCCTCAAAATGCTTTGTGTGAACTGTTCATGGGACAAGTCCCTGCAACCAGTCCCTTCGTGTAAACTCTTCAGGGAACTAGTTGCAGGGACTAGTCGTAGGGACCAGTCCCCTCATGTATGCCGACCTTTAAAATCCTAGTAAAAGCTAAGCCATTAAGGCTTTAGAGCCAATTCATCTGCAAACTGGAGGAGTCATACAGGCCCATCAACACATTTTCCATCAATCTGTAGAAATTTACCAACTTAAATTTACTACTGTTTAGCTAAAACAGCAACTCAGGCAACTGCAAATTAAAAAGTCTGTTGTAATACTAGCTTGGGAAAGCTTGCATTCAGGTGTCTAATCAGGGAAAAATATCATTTTGTCACAGTTAAACATACCTTGGAATGCTCTGGGATCAGAATGACACATCTCCATTTTATTACTTAGTTCGCACTCTCATGCATGACATGGCGTGTGAATTTGTGTGTGCAATAAGGATGCACAGAAACAGTTAGCACGAATGTCCTTAAGAGACAAGAATGAACAAACCACTTACCTCTGGAATAACATAATGCCCTGCTATAACTAAGGCTCCCAAGAGGTTATCACGACCATCATTTCTCTGCTCATAAATTGGTACCTGTTAGATGTAAAAAAAGAGATACAATATTTAATATGGAGGAGGATATTTTGTTTTGAAAAACAGCAAAATTACAGATATGTGTCACTGGCTAGCAACACACAAACAAATTTCCTCCTCAGGTAATAATCATATTTGATAGATCAGGGTTCTCTACGTTT